GGGAGGGAGGGAGGGGAGGGAGGAGGGGAGGGGGAGGGGGGGAGAGGAGAGGAGAGGAGAAGAGGAATATTCTCAGTTGTGTCTAGAGTTCAGTGTTATTTAGGGCTGTTCTAGACTCTCTCTTTTTTTTTTAACATACTCTTCATTTTAACACAAGCTGTTTAAGAATTATATATTTATCTCTAATTACATTAGAGTGTAGAACAAGCTATGGTTATTATGCTCTGTAAAGTAGATTTCTAACTGAGAGAAAACTTTATGCTCCAAAAGAAAATAATTATTTAAAAAAACCTTCCAATTGCTCTGTTTGTTACCATAGCCTAAGGCTATGAACATGCATATACCTTCTGAAGGAGAAAAGAGCTGTCCACATTTTGCTTTTGTCTCATTGAACCACAAGAAACCTTGTCCTTAAATACAATATGACACACCACAGATGCCCAATATCTTCTCTTTCTCTTTTTCTTTTTGTGTACCTTGTGGCCTTGTACTTACCTTTGCAAAAAAAATTTCTCATCAGCCTGTGTCTTAAGTGTCTCCTTTTCAGTTTGGTTCAGCTTGTGGCTAGCTTAAAACATTTTACTATGTCTTGGAATCGTGTTCTGTCCTCTGCTGTACTCCCTTGAATTGAACTCTAGTGTATCTTCCTTATTGGCTTTTTGTTTTCATGTGAATTCTTAAACAACTTATACTTGATAAACAATTGATTTCTCTTTTCTTAGTCAGCTGATAAACATCTCCAAAGAGGTTTTACAAGAAGCTGTATTATTAGAAGAAGAAGAAGTTAATTGAAGGAAAATGGTTATCAGAGAAAGAATTTTCTCAAAAAAAATTTGAGTAGAGTGTATTCAAAAGAGAAAAACATTGTCTTTTTTCTTTAATTCATTATCTTTCCTATCTTCCATAGAAAACTTTGTTTATTGTAAGTGTAGAAGCTTTTTTGCCAAGCTATTTAACCTGGAGGGTATTTTTATTTATTTATTTTTGAATTTTCTCTGGGTTTGCAAAATTACTAATAAAGACAAATGCAGGTAATTATTTTTACATGGATTTATAATAAACCTCCTTCATATTCTCTTCCAAATGTTGTTACCTTGCTAGAGGTTCAATTTTTACCTTGTCTCACCTTCAGGTTTTAAATGCAATGGATAAATCTTTAAACTCTAGAAGATGGTAGCCAGACAGTTCCTCTGTAGATTAAGTTCCATAAGAACACAGCGTGGGGGAGGGGAGAAACAATTAGTTCTCACCTTTTTATACTTAATAGGAATGAATTTTATGTATACCAAATATGTGATCAACTTTTAGATGTATGGGAAACGTGCACCCTGGGAAGATCCCTCCAAGTGGGTTCTCGACACATATCCCTGGAGCTCAGCATCTCTGCCTCAGGAAGGCCCAGCATTACTTCAGTTGCGGCCAGAAGATGTTGGGTATGAGGGATGCACATCTACTAAAGAAGCCACAACTTCAAAGCACAAGCCACAGACTGACACAGAAGGAGATCCCCTGGTAAGGAGCTCAAACTCAGTTCTTCCTATAATTATGATATGTGTCTTAGCCCTCTCTTTTCATCATCTCTAATAAAGGCAGTGAGTTATTCAGTAATATTTGAACCTATTCTGATATTGATACCTGGACTTGAATTCTGAAATTTCAGTCCACATTAATTTCAGTGAAATAATGAATAATTTTGAAATACTAATTAAATAAATTCTTTGTCTAACAAGAAACAAGAAATCCTGAAGCCTGGTTGAACTCTGTGACTATAATGATTCTTTGAAAAAACGATCAGTTGTGTTAATGGTTCAAATCAAAATAATTTTTAAAATATCATAACAGTTTACTAGGTCTTTCAATGAAAGCTATGTGTTTTGTAAACACATATTAGATTCTATCCTTTTTTGTTGTTTTCACTTAAGAAGAAAATGGATAGAATCTAATATGTGTTTACAAAACAAAAGAATATTGAATATACATCACTTAGCCTGATTAAATTGAGGATTACTCTGCTGTTGCTTTCAGCAGGGAAAGAAAAACTGACTTGGAAATCAGAGGGACTTTATTCTCTGTGCTGTACACATGTACATAGTTTATGTTTTAAAAACACTACAATAAGTAAGTCTTCAAAACTCTAAAGAATGAATATTCTGTAGTTGGAGGTATGGCTTAGTCAATGAGTGAAAGCTTCAGGTACTGAGACTAGATTGAGTCCTGGTCTTGTATCTAAGAAACAAAGAAAGAGGCTGGGAAGGTGGCTCAGTGGTAGAGTGCTTGTCTTGCATGCATGAGGCCCTGGGTTCGATTCCTCAGCACCACATAAGAAGACAAAGCCGGAAGTGGCACTATGGTTCAAGTGGTAGAGCGCTAGCTTTGAGCTGAAAAGCTGAGTGACAGAGCCCAGGCCCAGAGTTCAGGCCCCATGATCGACAAAATAATTAAAAAAAAGAGAGAGAGAAATCAATGAATATTCTGAATATAATGTATTTACAGTGCTAGTAGGAAAAAAACGTTGGGGATACCTACTTTTTATTTTTATAGATTACTTTGTATATATTAGTATCAAATATAATATAGTTTTTTAGCTGACCTTTCTGTGTCTAAAGAGATGATTGGATTAGTATAGTCAATACAGAAAGAAAAATCTATTATGTTTATTAAAAAATATAAAAGGAAACAAATTAAATTATAACCCATAGCTACATTCAATGACATAATCAGACTGGATGTTTTAAGAAATACTCTTATACAAACTGCCCAAGAGCAAACCTATGATCACTCTCACTCTATCAACCGCCCATTATTTGGGGGATTTTATTTTTTGTTGGTTGTGGGGCTTGAACTCTGGACCTGGGCACTGACCTTGAGCTCACTTGAGCCACAGCCCCACTTCCTCATGTTGGGGAGCATATGTGGAAAATTTGATCAATGTTCAGGATCTTTTCACAGCAAAATGCACACACACACACAGAGAAATTTTGCAGGCTAGTTTATGAGTTCCATAGAAATCACTGAAATATACACAAAGCCTTTCTTAGAGCTGAAGGGCCCAGACTGATACTTTTCTCATTTGGCACCTGGCCTTTTAAATGATGCATAGAAATCAACAGGAGAGGTGGATTTGGTTTCAATACAGTGTAATTGTGAGCATACACTAAATGACTTCTGATAGGACAGTTATGTTTAAATAAAGCAAATACATATTGTAGTATACAAAGATGGATTATTTGAACTTTTAATGAATTCCTGTCCACCCTCTATATTTCTGGTATATCTCTCATGTCTGTTTCAGGTAAGGAAAGGTGTTTCTGAGACTTGTCTTCAGTGTTTGTCTGTAACATAATGGGATCCTTTTCAAATGACCTCAACTTGGTCACTTTCTATAATCTAAATCAGTATTTTCTTCCCCAATTCTCAACTGTGGGAAAGAGAGACAGAGTCTTGAGAAGTGGGGTTAAAAAAAACCTTCTAGTTCCTTAAGAAAGAAGAAATTATATCTCACATGCTACATAGTAAAAGATAAAATCTAAAATTAATGTTTTGATCTGCTACATTCTTATAGAAAAATATTCTTCCTATTATATTTATATATTTCTACAGTTACTAACTCAATGCAAAATCCAATTGAAATCATAAATCATAGGAGGAAATATACTATTTAATGTCAGAAGTTCTAACTTTGAATCTGAATTAAATGTGACTTTTAGAATATTTCAATTTTTTAAAAAAATGCAATATGTCGTTATCACCAACAAGCTCAGAACAAAGCACAGAATAGATTTAAAGAGAGAAGAGAAAGGAATCTGAGAGAATAGATATGTAGGTATTAGGTGAAGGTAACACAGAATGGATGTGTTAGAAGTAACAGAAAGTTGCTGTTTGATCAAGACTAGAAGGAAGAAACCAAGGAGGAGAGAGGAGGAAGTAACTTGGCAAAGGATAATAATCTGATAACAATGGTAACTCAAATAATATAGTTCTTTTCCTCTTGTAATACTTTATGGCACTGCTTAAAACAGCCCTGTGAGAAAACTAAGTAAATCCCACTGTATACATTTATTTTTTTAATTGTCAAGGTATTAAAGTCGTAATTTTTGAGTATGGTGTCATGTAGTAAATATCTGCCATTAGAGAAAGTTCCACATCTCAAATTTGTAATAAATATATACAATGGCAGATATTTACTACATGACACCATACTCAAAAATTACGACTTTAATAATACTATTGTACTATAAACCTGTAATAATAATTAGCTTCAAGTATATTCAAGCATTTGTGACCAGAGAACAATTATATTTCTCATTTGACATTTCTACTCTTAGCAAATCAAAAGGGTGCTCTAAACACAGTTGTGTTGGTTAAATCAGTTTCTATCAAATGCTTTGCATACAGCCTCTGCTTGTGACGGATGGGTTGACAAAAGAAAAGATGCTGTGTGTGTGTGTGTGTGTGTGTGTGTGTGTGTGTGTAAGAGTGTAAGAGAAAGATAAAGACAAAGAGATGACTAAAAGGTGACAGAGGCATTCATTTTATTGGTTTAGTGGGTTTGAAAGATTACCACTAACTACTTTGAATTCACAACCTTGTGTAGCTGCTTTAATACATTGAGATTTAGATTGAAAATTAGCTTGAAGAAATGCAGTCCCAAATATTATTAAAATGACTTCAAAGTAGGCTCTAACTTTTTTTCTAAAAAGGCATTCTTGCTGAAAGTGGCGACTACCAGTTTGTCTTTCATTTTGCAAGCATTTCTTGAACACAGATTTTACACTGAGCATGTAAACATGCTTAGAATCCCTTCTATTTTTCTACATTGGAAGGCAAATAACCACTTGAAATAATGTATAAAATAATATAATGACTCCATATCAAGCAATGCCAATGTGATTGTGATGTAGAAATGCTTGATAAAGCAAAGAAACAACCCTGTCGTTGATTTTTCTGTTTTCTAAAATTGTTGAGCCATCATGTTTTAAGGAACCTGGGGGCTTTAGATCCATCAGAATCTAAGCACTGCCTCTTCCTTTTATTTTTCTAAAATACTGGCTAGCTGCCTTTCTCCCCAGGTGCTTGTATGCACATGTCCCTTGTTGCTCAACAAGCCTTAGCATTCCCTCATCAAACTGGGGAAACTTGAGACAACTGCTATTGTTCCAGAAGGTGGCTTTTGTTTTCAGTGATATATCAATCATATTTCTGCAAGAAATTCAATAACAACCCAAACTTGACAGAGATTCTTTCCTTCTCCCTCTTCAAATGCTCATGGTTCTGCTTCATTCTGTCACCTTCTCTTTGAGGTCAGCTCCTGAAGAGCAGATGGTGTGCTGTGAGCAGCAGCTGGCTGCATTCCACTCCATCCTCCCCTCCTCCTCTCCAGGGACAATGCTTGTGTGTATGTGTTGTCTGTGAGGCCCTCGCGTTGGTGGGTGTATGAACATTCACGATCTTTAGTTGCCATTCACTGCTTTCTGTTTCCCCCAGCCAAAAAGCTGGGAAACTTGGCTTCCTCTCCAGCAACCAACCCAGATGTCCAGCTGTGATACAGTTTCTTTTCCAGTCTCCCTGCTGGAGCAGTATTCATTCATAGCCCCAAATAAAAGAGTTATCTAGCCAGCCCTATTTTGTCCTTATGGTTTGGTGAGGTAGCTGTGTTTGGGAGAAACATGAACAGGAGCCAGGGGCAATGAGTGTAAATCCAAAAACTCTTTGCCATTTCGCTTGGATATGGGATAAGACGGTGCTTTTAATGGTTCCATGTGGCTGAGGGCTGTGTTTGTTCGGGGACTGGCTGATTCAATGCATCACTGCTCACAGGGATGTCTCTCTTTTCTTTCTTCAGATGAATATGTTAATGAAACTCCAAGAAGCAGCCAATTACCCGGGCACACAAAGCTGCGACAGTGATAGCACCAGCCACCATGAAGACATTTTGGATTCGTCTCTTGAATCCACCCTCTAGAGTACAAAAAAAGTGGAAAAAGAAGTTAGGGGTAAAAACAATGCATTTTAACAAAGTGTTTTGAAAGACAAAGGTATTTTCACAAAAGGTATTTCACTGCCAGTATGAAAGTCCCCTGTCCAGGGCTCTGACCCAGTCTTGTGGTCACCAAGGAGGAAACAGAACTAAGATCAGAAGCGCCAAGATGCTAAGTTGTAATGGGAGCTTGACTTTATTTTATTTCTAGGCATTTTGAATATCCACAGAGCCCTTGCAGGCTCCATGACCCGACTGGAAGGATCTCTCATGACAGGGCAACTGAAAATAGCTTGCACACATGAGTTGGCCAGACTGGACTTTCCTTTTCCTTTCTCTTTAAAAGTTTACAATGTCAACCTTTTTCTTTTTCTTTTCTCCCTTTTCCTTTTGTTCCTTGCCTGTTCTCCCCAGGCAGAGTCCCTTCTGATCTGTCCATCCACCTCCTTGGGGCCACCCTCCTTGGTGCTGGTCACAGGGCTCCAGTAGTGTTTGTGTTGTACACCACCCCATTCCAGTGAATCCATGAGGCTAGTCCTCCAGAAGCACAAAAGGAATTGTGCAACCACCAGGAAAACACTACTGTGGCAAACTGGAGAATTGCCAATTTCACTCACACTGCCGTGTTCTCGATCACATGCGCCACCAACTTCTTAGTGTCTGAGTCGCAGGTTTTATAAGGTTGTTTTTACCACAGTGGTCTTTTTAAACCACCTACCCACTCCCTTAACAAGAGTTTTATACCAATTATTAGTCCACACTGACAAAAGGCTTTTTAGGGCTTTATTTGTTCGAGCCTTCTCAGTGAAAGAAGGAACATTTCCTATGGTGCTGTCTCACTGCCTTAAAACAGATTTCTACAATGGTTTACCAGTTGGTTCAAATCCAGAAGTATTGGTAATTTCCTCCGTCTTTTTAATTTCATAGCCAAGCTACACCAGTTAACACAGTAGCCTCATCTCTATAAATTGCTGGGGGGAAGGTTTTGTTGCTGTTGTTTCTTTTCTCTTTCTCTCTTTTTTGGAGAAATGGATAGGAGGACTATCGGTATGTTTACCTTTGAGTAGATTGTTTTCCCTGTCCTCTATGTGACTTGAGTACTCTTAGAAACCCTCTTTGACTGTTGCTTCAAAGTAGAAACATGTGGCTAAATTCCATCCAGTTCTAACTGAAAAAAAAGAGTTTCAGAAGGTGGGAGCTTTTGAATCCTGATCCAGCAGAGCCAGGAGCACGAGAGGAAGCCTGAGCACAACTATTTGGTTTTCTTTCCATGTTCTTTCATTTCCATTTCTTTTCTTTTTTCTTTTTAGTTTTGATGCATGTTGTTTTGATCGCTGTTATTGTACATGAGAAATTCAGCATTAAAGAACACTGAAGCAGTAAAGTCACTGTGGAAAGAGGGAGAGTTGATACTGTAAAAGAAGGTTAGATATGCACAGTCTACTGGGTAGGTATTGTAAATAATAATGTTTATCAAAGTTGCACAAATCAAAACAAACACAAACAAAGTTGTATTTTATCCTGTTGGTGTTTTAAGAGGTGTTTCACTTGCTGAGATTTCCTGTATGTTGCAAACAAAAGACAGAATGCAAATCCTCAAAGCTGTTATGATCTGGTGTGTTTGTCCTGTATTCACAGTTGTTATGACTACACAGGAGCTATCAGTGCTACAGTGAGCATGCTTCAAAACTGTCCATGAAGCCAGTATATTTTTGGAATCAGTAAAACTGTCTAAAAGTATATCTGTGGTGGCAGGCTTTAGAGTGCATGAAAACTGATCAGAGTCATTGGAGAAGTTAACCATCTCTCTCTCACATACACATACTCTCACACACACACATACACACACACACACACAGAGGACAGGTTTGTAGTTCATGAAACCCAAGGGCTAGGCCATGGTGTTGACTTGTTCTACGCAAGGGAAAATGTGCTACTTCTCAGATGTGTAACTGGTGCTATCCTCTGTGACCACCCCATGGGTCAGTTGCTATCAAACAAGTCATATCAAGACATCTGTGCAGTTTTCAGAGCATCACTAAGTGTATAGGTCCTTATAAGGTGCTATTGCCCTGAGGGAAATCTGAACTGAATTATGCACATGGAATTGTCACCCTGACTTTCAAGCCTCAAACAAGGATCAAATCTGTTGTACAACATCCATATATGTAGCTGGATGAGTGACTTTTGCCCTTGTATAATATGTGATCTATGAAAATTGCGAATTTTTCCCTGCCATTTTGAGAAACACAGTCCAAACATGAGCATAAACAGAATTTCCTGCAATACATCCAATAGGTCCGCCTAGTTTACAACTTAAACTAGTTTGTGAAACATTTGTCTGTATACATTTTATATTTTGTACATTTTCTGATGTAACATATCATGTAAATAGGCAGAAACAGTGAGAAATAAATCATCTGACAAGGTTTTGTAGTCTTTGTAAAGCCCCAACAATAAGTACTTGGTGTCTATGGACTTAACTGGATGACGTATTTTCTATTGGTTTATTGTTCCTCTCTAGCTTGTAAACCAGCTTGCATATATTTTTTTGCAAATGTGCACCCTGTATCTGTCTAAATTATTACTTTGCCATTAAAGTGGAATTATTTATTGATGACAAGGTGTGGTGTCTGTGTCTGGAGAAAAAAGTAATGGAGTAATTTTGAAAAAGGGAGGTGTCAACCTGTAAAATAGATGGCTCAGTGGTGGGATTCTCTTACTGGGAATGTGTATAAATTTACATTTTATATCCTCCATAGGTAAATCCCCGAAGCTTTTAGATAAACCAATAAATTATATATATATATAGAGAGAGAGAGAGAGAGAGATCTTTTAAAATAAAAGTTACTAATTCAGTGAATAATTTTTAGAAAATTCTGAATAGTTTATATAAATGCCTTGAGATAAAAAAGGATTAATATAAAATAAAATGGTGATACTCAGTTATAATCAAATTAGTAAAGGCTTTTTTTGCTTTTATTCCATTAAATTCTCTTTTGATCTAGAGACATTTTGTTATTGGGGTGGTTTGTTTTAACATATTAGACTATGGAAACAAAAAGAAACTTCATTTAAAATTTAAAGTTCATTCAAAATAGCTTGAGATTTATTTGTCCTCTAATTCAAATTATACTTGGGAGCATAACTAGGGCTTAAACTCTAAAATCAGGAACATTTTTGAATTAAAAATTGAAGAAAAAAGGCACTAGTTAAAATGGGCCATTTATCTACCCATGATTAGTTAAAAATATAATTTTCCCTTCACTCAGTTTAAAAGATCCAGGAAATTTCTATTATTTACTTTATTCAAATAAACAATAAAATAATCTAGTGTTTGGGACTGGGAATGAGGTTTTTTTCTCATCATTTTCCTTCTGTCTTCTATGAAGTCACCTAATTGGATAATTTAGAAAGAATTATTAAGTCCAATACAACACTAACTTTCAAGAGCATATGTCAGAATGTTATTATACTCTCATCTTAGGACCTCTAGATGATGAATTTAAAATTTTTTCTCCTAGCCAAAACATTTTTGAAAAGTGTTAACTAGATAAAACTGAAAAGAATACTTATTTGCAATTCCTGACTTTTGACTGTTGAATGGATGTGTAAGTACTTGGTTCCTAAAATAGACTTAATCTCAGAACTGATTAATGGAAATTTGATTGATGAAAATTGTTTAATGTTTTATCAGGATTCTTATTTATTCAAAGAAGAATATTTGGGCTGGCTTCAAACTTGCTATCCTCCTCTCTCAATCTCCCCAATAGCTGGGAATACAGGTATGCAACACTATTCTAGTTTAGGAGGACATTTTGTTAACAGCATTTGTTTCCTCTTATGCTAAGATCTTCATTTATTCTCTTTACACCTTGTCAAACCTTTCATGCCTTGGACCACCTTTGTGATATCACAGACTAGGTCAAGAATCTGAATCATTTGTCTAGAATTGCATATACATACAATGTCCAACTTATGCTTCATTTTTAGAGTCTAGAATAGAGTTTATTCTCCAAAATATATTGAGTTGAGCAATACTAGCCACTCAGGAGACTGAGATCTGAGGATCGCAGTTCAAAAACAGCGTCAGGAAGAAAGTCCGTGAGACTCTTTTCTCCAATTAATCACCAAAAAAGCTGGAAGTAGCGCTGTGACTCTACAAGTAGTAGAGTGCTAGTCTTTAGCAAAAGAAGTTTGGTTACAGCACCCAGACCTGAGTTCAATCCCCATGACTGACAAAAAACCGCCACCAACAAAAAAAAATTGAATTAAAATATTTTTGAATGTGCAGACAGCAACTTTGTATACCATTGTAGATAAGGTCATTAATCTCAAGATCATGTTTGTGCATGGAGTGTCCTGTGAGTCCTAACTTCTAATTAGAATACTATGAGTGAACAGAGAAGGAAGAAATATGCAGAAGACTTGAATGATCCAAGAACAAAGTATTGCATCACCCTTGGAATTCTTCCCCCTTTGTATATAATGTGCTCTATTACATATAAGTTCTCTTTTTTCATTCTACTGTTAAAGTTGTCTTTAGATAGTTTAGATAGTTGTCTTTATATATAGGAGAATTTAAATGTGTGAGGTTTTTTGGGGGGACAAAGAAAATACTCTAAGCAGTTAGAAATGTAATGTTAGAGTCTAGAAGACAGGTGGCAACTGAAAAGATAGAACTAGGTTTCCTTAGCAGAGAAACAGGCAAGTGAAATGAATTGCACTTTGGGACAAGTCCCCAGGAGATAGCACTCAACTGAGTTAAAAAAAAAAGAGATGGAAATCTTTATAGTTCATTTGGCTTATATTTCTTAATTTATCCAGTCCAATGTTTATATGTACCAAATGTAAGATATGAAGATATTAAATAAACCTATTTAAATTAGGAACCAGAAAAATCTACAACCTAATAGGTTTTGTGGTTTTTATGGAAGAATCCACTGATCTAATATCTTTGTTCTTGTAGGTTTTATAACCTAGGATGTTGACATTTAAATGCCATCAATGTATCTGTAGTGGTTACGTACGGTATTTATAATGGAGATTATCTGTATCTACCAGTCAACTCCATTGGTCAGCATAAAATCTAGAAATCTAATCATAGCCCATCCAAGAACATTTGAGTGTTGAATAGTATCTTAAATGGTTGGGTTCAG